TGGAAGCCCGGGGCAGAGCAACTCTGCCTCGGGCTTCCTGTAGTCAGTGGCGGTCAGTTTCAGCAGCGGCTGAATCTGGACGCCAGTTCCGACTTACATACAGATTCAACTTAAGAACAAACCTACAGTCCCTAACTTGTACGTAACCCGGGGACTGCCTGTACTTACTTACACACCTCCAGTTTTCATCCAGAACACGTCACATAACCCATTGTCTACAGCCAAGCCCTAAGATAACAATCAGATTTACTGGTCAGTTTCAGCAGCGGCTGAATCTGGACGCCAGTTCCGACTTACATACAGATTCAACTTAAGAACAAACCTACAGTCCCTAACTTGTACGTAACCCGGGGACTGCCTGTACTTACTTACACACCTCCAGTTTTCATCCAGAACACGTCACATAACCCATTGTCTACAGCCAAGCCCTAAGATAACAATCAGATTTACTCCAATGCCTCAGACAAACACCTACAGGAACTCTAGTAAGCATTGTTAAACTATGATACCCACCTAGAGAAGTGAAGAAACAGATTGAAAAAATTACCCAGAAGTCAACTACTACAGGACAGACCCAGCAAAGAAAGCAACAGAATGCCACTAAACATTATTTAGAGCCCCCAGCTTAAACCCCTCCTACATATCATTAAGGATCTACAATCTATCATGATGATGATCCCTCACTTTCACAGACCTTGGGAAAAAGGCCAGTCTTGCTTACAGACAGTTCTCCCCGCCCCCTCTCACCAACCTGAGTCAAATGCTGCCTTCATACCCCACAACAGAAACACTAATCCAGGAACCTATCTCTGCAACAAACCTCATTGCCAGCTCTGTCCACAGATCTATCCTAATGACACCATCACAGGACCCAACCACATCAGCTATACCATCCAAGGCTCATTCATATGCAGATCTACTAATGTGATATATGCCATCATATGCCAGCAATGCCCCTCTGCTATGTATATCAGACAATCAGACTGTATCCATGCAAAAAAAAATAAATGGACACAAATCAGACATCCAAAAGCCAGTGGGAGAGCACTTTAAACCCCTGGGCACACACTTTCTGACTTACAAGTTGCAAAAAAACCCCTTCAAACCCAGACTGCAATTCTCAGGCAAAAAAAACCCTCTTCAAACCCAGACTGCAATGAGAAACTGCTGAGCTGGAATTCATATGCAGATCTGACACCCTGAACAAAGGTCTAAATCAGGGTGGAGAAAGTAAGGCTCAGGGGCCAGACGCAGTCTCACCCCCTCTCCCCGCTTATCTGGATCTGGCCCCCGATGAGCAGGGCTTGCCCCAGCATTTGGGAGCCCATGTTGGTGAGGTGTGGGTTGTTTATTTGTTTTTCTCACTTGTGTGCAGCCCCTGACTGATTTTTCTGTGGGTCAGTGGCCCCCAACCAACAAAAACAGGTTCCCTACCCTGGTCTAAATAAACACATGGAGTTGTTCTTGTATTACAACAGGTAATTTCCCATTCAAGTACTCTCACCTTGTCAACACTGTTGAAGATAAGCCATATGCACTCTGATTTAATTAGCACAGATGTTTAATCCCGTCTCTGTATCTTTTTCTTTTTGTCTTTCTTTTCAGCATCTGAGGAAGTGAGTTGTAGCTCATGAAAGTTTAAGCCTTAATACCCTAATAAATCTGTTAGTCTTTAAAGTGCCAGCAGACTCTTTGTTGGTTTGTTCAATGGAAACTTGTGTCCAATGTGGTTTACATAAGCAGTACATCCTGTCCTCCAATTGGTAAAATCTGACTGGCAAGGCCCTTTAGCTTTTAAACATTTCATTCTGCTTTATTTAATTGCTTTGTTTTATCAACGAGGCAGAACATTGCATTTCAAAGTATTATGCTAATTATCTTAAATTACTCTCATCTTAGGTGATAAGCAGCTTCTAGGACATAGATGAAAACTGATTTGAAGCATGAAACAGTCCTATCACTAGGGTATGAATAGTATTGCCATTGTAGCAGTGGTGCATCGTTGGCTGCCAGGGTAATATACAGGAGGAATACAATGGTCTGATTCTAGTCCCTCATACACACACATTCCCCCACCCCAACTCCTTATAATTACACCAGGGTAAGGCAGAACAGAATCAGGCTAGAATCACAAGGTGGATTAAGGCCCATTTTAGGCACCAGAGTACAATAGTTAGGCACAAATGGTATGTCCCACCCAGCCTGCTGTGTGGAGAAACCTCCCTGATTCCAAGTAGCAATCATGTTGTAATCACACAATTCAGTCAGCATGAAACACCATGTGGGTAGGATTTCAACACCTTTCAGACTCCCTGTAGCTATAGGATTGGCAGCACATCCCAAGCAGATCTGGTGATTGATTTAACCTCAGGAACATAAGAAAACACAAAGATCTGCACTCTCTCTATAATGGGCCATTAACGCATTGTATGAGTGGAGCACCACAGAAATAGTGTGGATTATAATTCTGGCCAGTGACCATAATACAAATAAGCAGGGGGCAGGGTGAAATGTACATCACTGGGGAAAGGGCTAAGCCCGGGCTCTACCCTCTTGGACCTGCCAGCACATCTGAGTCAGTGTGCCAAGGGGAAGTAATCTATGTAGGGATAGGCTGATGTACATGATTTCCTCCAGAGCAAGAGGAGTAACCAGAGACCATTTTAGGGACTAAATCATCATCTAGTTTCTGGTCTGTGCCTGAGGAAATGCAACTCTGTGCTATCTCTGTTCAGTGCTTGTAGTGAACATTTAATTACACTCATCCAGTTTTAGAACAGAAACCATATCATGTGACTTGTGAGTTGTAACAACTAGTTAACGCAGTTCGAAACCTTAATGAGGCACTGTCTAGGCACAGAGTTTCACTGGCACAGAGCAGCTTGCAGGATTAGTGCAGTCAATGTAATTATTTACTCCAAAATGTTCATTGAGCTGTGAGTGCCTCACACAGCTTCCTTAGTGCAAGCGAAACATTTCAACGTGTCTACCTGACGTAGCATTTCAACTGTTTACAGCAAGAAACACACGTCATGCTGCACAAATGCCCTGCAGATTTGATCACTTGCAACGTGTCTTGCAATAGGAAAATGAAAATCAGTTAGGATAAATATTTATTTCCACATAACATTTCTTAGTCGTGAAAAACACAATATTCTATTCACATGTACACATTACTTTAACTTTTGTAATAAATTACATCCAAGAAATTCAGTAATTTTGACCAGGAATATGAAATTAGAAGTAAATACATAACACTACATTTGCATTATAGTTGATGTGATTTCAAAATGTTAAGATTAACATTGGAATAGCATTAAAATTCACAAGTATAGAGTGACTGTAAAAAAAACCCTCAAATACTGAACGGAAATACAGAATGCCACTGAATACACTGATTTCTTAGTATTCTAAGAGTTGGTCAAGTGAAACATCTAATTCACTTTGATCATCTGTAACAGAAAGTCAGCAACATATCAAAACATCAGCAGGCTTCTTCCAGAGATGAACCAATATTGTACTTCTATACTAAGCTTAAAACAATTGGAATGTTACAATGTATCATCAGGTACACAAAAACAAAGCATTTTAACCTTAAGGTGCCTGCATTTTCCCTAACTTTACAAATACAAGCCATTTTTATTAAATGTAAATACTTCTTTGCATCCATTAAATACAATCTTCTTTATTTTAGTATTATCAAAACCCTTTAAGGTCATTTTAGAGTTTAGAACAGTTTCCCTACTTATTTTCAATAGAATGCATTGGCTACATTAGTCAGCTTTACAAGCAATGCTTTTAATGTGTTGGATATGGTGTATATGAAAAGTAATTCTTGTGAGTTCTGTGGAGAGATTATTAGCATATTGGAAGAGCTAGGAAGCCTTAAAGTCCTATAAATTGATCACTGGTAATGATTACAAGACTGCAAGCCATTAGCACAATGATGAGAATTCGTGTCATTTTTGAATTTGTTAAAAATAACAAATCAAGGCATTCCCACATAACACTCTAAAATGTATGTTATTGTTCCAATTCTTTATTGGAAAATGTAGTTTGCTAAAAAATTGAAGGGTCATGCCTATATAGTAAAATCAGTTTGTATGTACTAAACTGACTTATTTGTAATGGCTTTAAACTGTTAAACTATTAGAAAAAAATCACAAGTTTAAAAAATAATTGTGATTAATTGCAGTTTTAAACACACTGTTAATAATACCAGTTTAATTTTATTATAAATATTTTTGAGCATTTTTCTACATTTTCAAATATATTCATTTCAATAAAACACAGAATACAAAGTGTACTGTGCTAACTTTATATTATTACTTTTATAACAAATATTTACACTATAAAAAACAAAAAAAAATTACTGTTTTTTAATTTAACTCATACAGGTACCAGTGCACTCTCTTTATAATGGAAGTGCAATTTATAAATACATTTTTTCATAACTGTACTCAAAAATAAAACAACGTAAAACGTTAGCACCTACAAATCAAAGCATGAAGCAGAAAATGAATGTTTAGTACATCTAGCACATAAATACCTTGAACACCAGCTACTATAGAGCTATGTGACCACCTTCAGGTGATATTATAAATAAGAAGCAGGTAACATTATCTTCCATGACAGTAAACTTGTATGTTGTTGTACAAACATAAATGTATTACTATTACTGATTGCCTGAACCAGAAATAGGACTTAGTGGATTTGTATGCAGTAAATTAATTGAAATCAATATATTTGAAAATGTAGAAAAATATACAAATATTATAACAAATTTAAATTGGTATTGTATTATTGTTTAATAGTGCAATTAAAACTGCAATTAATTGTGCCTATTTTTTAAACTAGCTAGTTAATTTTGTATTAATCACATACTTTGTGATTGACTGTCCTAGTTTTTGCATCATGTCTTAATTGCAATGAACGTGCATTTAATGGACTAAGGAAAAGAGCATGTAACAAAAACAGTAGTCAACCATCTCTAAGTTTGTGTGCATGATTCATATCTGGATTATAGCAGGGCATTATTGTAAGCTAAGGGGCAACAATATAGGTGTACATCTTAATGTATGATTTTATTGGAGGCATTTAAAGGTTTTAGGCAATTACACAGAAAACTGATCATCACTAGAAGGGCAACAAAACTGCATGTGTCTGGTAACGATTTATATCCACAAAATTCCCACTAGTATTCTAAAATACCAGGTTCATTAACAACATAATGCACCTTTTTTGCCTACCATTGCAACATTGAGTACAGTACAAGATACTGTAATCACAGCTTGCATTTTTAGCAAATACCATATGAATATTTCACATCAAAGGATGTGTTTTAACAAGGTGAGAGAATGTATTTATATATATTAGATATGTGATTTTATGTTCTAGTTACATATAATTTTGAATATTAAATATTCTGTATTAATTCAAGGAAAACTGCATAAATAAAAAGTCGGATACTAGTGCCCTTAGTACAAGAATAACCCTTGAGTTCAGTGGGAAAGTTCACAGAGGTAAGGATTATTGTAGCAAGAAAGGGTTTGCAGGATTAGGTCAGAAATTATTTTTTAAAAAGCTTTTAAAACTAACTTTTCCTTGTTAATTTGGGCCTCTTGAAATAATTGACTAGAACTAAAAAAGAAATGGGGCTGTTTGTCTTGAATGAAGATATTACGTATTCTCACACAAGTGAAGTAGAAAAATACACTAAAAACTCACTAAATTATAAGTTTTGAAAGAAATATGGTTACTAAATTGCTGAGCTGTATTATCAAGTGGCTAACACATAGCAAGAAAAGTGAAGATGCTTGAGTACAATAGATTTTGCACAGATAACTGACTGTAGACATTTAGAAGAAAATTAAATAAATATTGCACTACTTACATTATCTGTGCTATTTTGGGATGAAAGACAAAGTTTACAATATATGATCAAATCAGTTATATTAATGATTGTGGCACTCCTTTCATTTGTTTGGAAAAATAAATTGAAGAACAAGTCATAGACAAGTCTCCCGGTCAACACCTTTCCCTGAGTCAGCTTTCTTCTCTCGTCTGCTTTCAGCACTGGGAGGGAAGGAGCAAGGGAGGGAGAATAAAAAAAAACGTATATTACAGGAGTGTTATCATAGTTGCTAGAGCATTTCACTTGGGGTAAAACAGACACTGATCGCATTAACTTTTCATGCTACATGGCACAAACTGGGAAGCAAGAGTGAAAATTGCAGTATTCCATGGTACAGATGACACTGACCAGTATTTTAGTAAAGAGCTATGTAAAGACTTAACTGAAAGTTTGCACATGAACAAATCTGCAACATGCAAGCAAAAATAGTTGCTGGGTTTTTTGGTGGTGGTGGGGTTTTTTTTGGTTTGTTTTTTGCAAATACAATAGCTAATGATTTAAAAAAAACCAGTGATAATGGTACAGTTTTGAGACAACACCAGCATTTTTTTAAAATGGCACAAACAAGAGATCCCAGTATTTCTTCACTATTATGTGCATATTTTCATCACTCACGTATAAGAAATATTTTTGACCAATTTATCTGAAGAAACAGTGAGCAGTGCTAGCAAATTCATAGGTATTCCATGGAAACCTCAGGTCTTCCTTTCTTCAGAAAAAAAATCCAACTATTTTAATTTTAAATCTCTGATTCAATGCACATTTATGCTGGGCTGTGTGATGCCAGAGACATTTTTTTAAAAAAGTTTTCCAGCCATGCACAAAGCAGATGTTGCAGAATATTAACAAAAAGAACACTTTCTAGTCTGGATTCAAATACGAACTCAATTTTAATAGAAAAATGCTGATGATTTGCCTTCAGAAAGCAATATACAATATGTTCAAGGGTGATTATTATCTCTGTCCTGAATCCTATTTTATTACAAGTTGCAAAACAAATAGGTTGCATTGTGAAAGGAGAATCACTCAGGGCTCCATAAAGTAACGTAGTCACTTTAATAAAATTTAAAGACACTTCCAAAGCACGGGTAAATCAAAGACAAAGAATGGCAATATGTATTTTTAAATACAAACCTGGAGCATACATATAACCTCCTAGCAGGAATAATTCCCTAGCAGGAGTGAATGAGAACCAGGCCAAATCTAAACATAACTTAAAGAAGGTAGACAGATTTTCAAAGAAGTCTCCAAAATTGCTCCTTTAAAAATTCCTCACACAGTTTTTAAGGTTACAGGTAGTTTTTTTTTTTTTCATTTAGTTAAATGAAGTCCAAACTCATCTCACTGGCTGTGGAGGCTTCTGCCTATTTCAAGGTGTGCTTCTGGAACTAACAGTGTAGAATACTGATTTCAGCTGGATACACCTGCTTAGTCCTATCACGTCTCTGGAAAAGAGTCTCTATCCTTCATAGGGCTGATGTAGGGGGATGCATGTCCCCTGATAGTCTGACGTCAGGAGTGGATTTTTCCTTCTCACTGAATCAGCCAAATAAATTTAAATGTGCTATGCTGATATCTTCCTTCATGAGCTTGCCTGTGTGTGGATTCTTTGGTTTAGGGGGATACGGAGAACCAGTGAGCCAGGACAGGGACAGAAGAGTCTGTGAGGGTATGTCTACACTACAACACTAATTCGAACTAACTTAGTTCGAATTAGTTAATTCGAACTAAGCTAATTCAAATTAGCGCATCTAGACTTAAAAACTAGTTCGAATTAGTGTTTTGCTAATTCAAACTAGCATGTCCACACTGAGTGGACCCTGAACCGAGGTTAAGGATGGCCGGAAGCAGTGCCGGCAGGGCATCAGATTAGGACTTAGAGTGTGGAGCTGCTGCCTCAGGCTAGCCGAGGGCTGTGCTTAAAGGGTCCCGACCCCCACCCCGGACAGACAGTGCTCAGGGGTTCCCTGTTTGCAAAGCAGTCCTGGCTTGGAGTGCCCTGAGTGCCCACACTTGGCACATCACAACACTTGGCCATCAGCCCGGCTGCACTTGCCGCAGGCTGCCATCTGGAGGGGGGGTCAATCGGGGGGCTGCAGAAGAGCTTCCACCCGAGGAGCCCGCAGAGCCACCCCAGTCCTCCCCATTGGGGGCTCTCAGGGGTTCCCTGTTTGCAAAGCAGTCCTGGCTTGGAGTGCCCTGAGTGCCCACACTTGGCACATCACAACACTTGGCCATCAGCCCGGCTGCACTTGCCGCAGGCTGCCATCTGGAGGGGGGGTCAATCGGGGGGCTGCAGAAGAGCTTCCACCCGAGGAGCCCGCAGAGCCACCCCAGTCCTCCCCATTGGGGGCTCGTACCCCATTCCTCCCTCACCTCCTTCCACTTACCCGTCCCTAGCCCCCCTTCCTGATGTACAAAATAAAGGACATGTGTGTTCAAAAATAGAAACTCTCTTTATTGAACAAACCTCAGGGAAACTGGGAAAAGAAGGTGGGAGAGGGGAAGAGAGAGGGTGGAAGAGGGGAGGGCAACTAAAATCATCAGGGTTTTGGAGCAGGTCCCATATGAAGAGAGGCTAAAGAGACTGGGACTTCTCAGCTTAGAAAAGAGGAGACCGAGGGGGGATATGATAGAGGTCTATAAAAGCATGAGTGGTGTGGAGAGGGTGCATAAAGAAAAGT